ACGAACCAGAACTAAGACAACGAAAGCCGCAAATATACAACATTTAAACAAAATAAGACCTTTAGTAAACACTGAATAACAGCAATAAAAATTTAACCACCTATATATTTTTTTATGGAAATAATTTTTCTTGACTAAATTATCACAAAATAAATATATCCCCAGACTTTCGTCACTATTAAACAAGCTAACAAACTAAAAAAAGGAAATAGTGTAACTATAAACCGTGACAAAACTACAAATTTAGAAATCATATTATGAAGTTGCAACATCATAAAAATTTCAAAAAAAAGTCTCCAACTCAAGCATGAAGTGTTATGTTCGAGAGCGGTCTGGAAAAGGAATCGTTGGAATAATAATCGCGATATGAATAAGGCACCACTTAAATAGGATGCGAGGTCAGGCAGTCTACTAATTGACACAAATGAATCATTGAAAGTAGTAAAAGTAGTTTGTATTCGGGCGTCGATTGTCAAGAATTGCCTAATTAGCATGGTGTCGCAAAAAAGTTTTTTGTTTTGTGGAATTTCGGTCGTCACTAAAAACCCACGCCAAAAGTCCATCAAGGTAACAATGTTTTTGGGATATGTTAAATTTACCTCGAAGATTATACAAATTGTGTGATCGAGAACATTATTTTGACAGATGCGACAGTTTCGTTGATGAATAAAGAATTTAAGACAGAAGACTTGTTATTGCTTTGGAATTTCCCCAGAAGAGGTCTCCTTTTTGAAGATGAGTCCCGGGGTGGGATTTTATCGGTACCGATATTTTATCGTTATAGAAACAAAATCCCACCCCAGACTCAAGAGGACCTTGAATGTCTATTGAGTGACTACCGCGGAGTATTATCAAGAGCGCTCCGGAACCGGAAACCCTTGAATTCGCGATATATTGTTCCGGAGTGAGTCCATAAGGTTATCGACAGCAGTCTGCAGCCGTAAATCGAAGAGTCATCGTTAACAGTCGGAAAATAATTATAGTCAGTGTGGAAAAAAAATCGGCGAATGATCCTCGTGTGTGAAATCGTGTGCCTATACAAAACTCATTCATCACCTGTCAAGAGACCTGCCAAAAAGTAGTCTGTTTTTAACACAACGCTTTATACTTTTCGAATAAAATTTTGCTGATACTGTGGAATTCTACATTCATTAATATAAAGTTAAATATAGGCACCAACACCAGATCCCGCGCTTTTATAACCTGACCTATTGAGGTAGTAAAGTTGCACCGCAACTTTCCTTTTGATGCAATCAGCACAATTTGTATAATTTTTATTACTTAAAAAATAAAGTCGGATTAAGTCAAATTTATTAATTAAACAAGATTATTTCCCACGTCATAAATCTGTAGCGGCTGTCACCACCTCGCCGAAATTTATTACAACAATAAAATTAGTCCAACGTAATGTGACTGCTTAATTGCGAAGTAACGAATTTCTGGCACTTGTAATTGATTTTCCCTCAAATTGAGTATTGTTAATAATAACGACGCAATCAAAAGCAGCTTTGTTTGCTCCGATTCAGAATCAAATAAGGTCATTCTGTAAGCGACCTCGCGTTCGAGTTTTGTTTGATAAATCGCTACTAGTAAGTCTAGTCTTTTTCCAGCAATGCTGTATTTTATTATCACAATAAATATTGATTACACTTCGTGTATGTGGCAAATAATAAAACCATGCAAAATAAATATATATATAAAACAACAAAAAATAAATAAAAATATGTACTTATTGGAACCGTGCAGGTCAAGGTAGTGATGGATTAAGGAATTATCAATATAGAAATATTGTGCTATAGAAAGTATGCAGTACACCTTTCAATAGCATAATAAAAATACAAATAGTTACTGCAATCAAAAGAAGGATTAATTATTAATAAAATGCCATCAATCTTAATTGTACAGCTTACACTTCATTATGAAAAACCAACTATCCATAATCCAATTCAAACAAAATATTTTCCATGGTGAAACGTATCGATAAAATTAATCTACCCGATTATGGTCTTAGTTGAAAATACAACACGATTGTAAATTCGTTTTCTTTGAAAATTACGACTCGTGACGCCGATCACATGATTCTACACGCCCCCGTACAAGAATGCGTGACTATTTAAATCGTGGCGATTACTAAACATATTTAAACAATAGCGTACTTTGCACCTGGGCATCAATTTTATTTTTCCTCCAATTAAGCGTAAAACTGTTAATTATTCCCGGACGACCTGTAGTTAAACGAAATACAATCTGTCAAGGTTGCGTTCAAAAATGCGGCAATTTTCAAGGAATTGGGGGTATTATGTAAGGAACTAATTGAATTATTCTATGTGAAAAACAAATTAAAAGGAAATAATAAAAAAATTCTAAAGCATTCAGTGTTTAGTGATACTTTTAATCTACACATTTAGAAGATTCGCTCTAATACATCGGACAAACAATGAGAAACGTGTTAACTCTGACAAATTACCGTCACCGAAACCAGAGAAGTACCGAATTATTAACACTGCTAGTTTGAAAGTTTCCGCCACCTGACTTACAAAAAGTTGAAGCAAAGCACGTTGAATTTGGTGTTTTTTTTTGGCAATGTGATACCAGGCTGTTTAAATTTATAATAAAAAATTACCCCCAAAATCGACAATCCTGAGATAGAGACAGCTGAAATGTCTTACTTTGCACAAATGTTAGTAGTTTTTCACAGTTAAAAAATAATAAAAACACGTAAGAACTGACATAAAACGCAAAATATGATTGCGAAAACAAAGAAATATAAATTATAAATATAACAAGTACCTATACATTATTAGTTTATAGTTATTCAAAAACCAAACATGCATGTTTCTGAATGATGTTGCATTTAAAACTTTTGTGGTAATGGACGCTTTACGCTGAAAGTTGTACACGTGGTTTTCCAAGTCAGGCACGTGACTTGTTTCTAAGAGCGAGCTGGGAATTCCACTGATTTATGTGTAAAATCACCGATGCTTTAACGATTCCGACTTCGACCACTATTTAATTTTAGTCATTATTTATTCATTTATCAGACGAATTTAATATTACCATTAACCGTATGACACACAATCATGTATGAAGTGTTTCAACAGAACGAAACGATCAAATTACTTCTCAAAACAACTATCTATAAAACATACTAATTATACCATAAAGAATATGGAAAAAAACTTCTACTTAGATATATCAGAAACCGTTGATAAAATTACAATTATGTGGGATTACTGGGGAAAAACGTACTTGGCAGTTACATAAGGTGCACGTTTTCACTTTTTATGAGCCAAATTTTATCAAAATGGAATGCTGTGCTCAAGTGACACCCATATATCATAAGAAATAAATGATCAACGTGACTACCATAAACCGAAAATTTATACAATCGTAGATAGACATCTTATCCACTTTTGACGTCATCGGAAAATGCCAAAAATCACAACTGGTTTACATCCCAACAAATGCAACATTGTTGCAAGCTTGGCAAAATTTGGAACGCAATTTACGTAATTCGCACCATAAAAACACATTATATTTTTAGACTTTGAATTTAACGATATTTTAATCTAAACACGTGAATCACCCAATTCGTTGCTTTTGGTTTTATTATGATTGTTGGTACGCGAGATTAATTCCAATGTCTCCAAAAAGAAAGCAATAAAAAGATAACAGTCATCCGGCTCAGTGGATTTTTAATATCATTTTTTTTTAGAAACACGAGTACGTACTTAAATTACGTAACGACAGAATACTTGAATATTTTAAAAATAGAGTACCCATGACAAAATCGCTCATTACACATTTTCCAGTATTCGCGATGTGTTTATTCAACACTCGTAAGATAATTATTACCTGAGTCACAATTAGATAAAACTAAAACGTTTCGGATTGTTCCGGTGCTACCAGCCACGTTTATCTCCATTACGTAAACGTAAAAGTGCATTTTTTAGACGTGGCGTATGAAATTTAATCGGTGGTCATCACCCGGAAACCGTTTCATCATCGAATCAGTATGTTAATGATATTGCAAGATTAAACAAATCGTCTGTTTAAATAATATATAACAATGACAGGATAAGCCTAATTTTCGTAACATTTTTTGACATTAAATATGTTCAGACACAGGTCGTTACTACTAGTGTAGCACAACTAATTTCAGCTCTTCAAAAAAAAGTCAATTACTGTGGTAAAAAGAAACGAATCCAAGGTGATCCGAACGATTGACACGCTAAACGAAAATAGTGTGTGGAGATTAAATTTTACGGCACGTCACGTGGTCTTGAACCAAACAAAATAGTTAATAACACTGACGATAAGAAGTGGCAAACTATTTGGTCGTGTAGTAAGGTAACAAAAAGTGGTATGTGGCAAATGAACACAATTTATCCTTGCGGCTTTTCATGATTACAATTATCAATTAGAAACAACAAAATAAGCTCTTTTATAGATACGTCGGATCTAAACACGATTTTCAAATTACTCAAAGTTTGTATTGTGTTATGAGAAACACAACGAATGTTGATTAGCACGTATCGCGGCAATTAAAAATAATGAACCACAATTTACAATTATGGGACGTGTGCAATATTAAAAAAAATCTATGCGCCAAGGGAAATAAAGCCGGTTGTATGGTAGATTTAATTCTTCTCCGATGAGTGTTCAAGGTAAATCGGAAAATAAATTGCGGCTACGTAATACACCGACAAACTAATTTCCTTCGTCACTTTATACAAAAAGTTGTAAATGCAACACCTCACATTTGATTAAAAAACCCAATCACTGTAATACTTGATGCAATTCTGGAAAACATTGACATTCAAAATGATCTGACAAAAATCGTCGATCAGTTTATTTCATTCCGTGTTTGTATATGACTATACACACTCTTTCGTATTGATGAAATAAACTGATATAATCGCACATGTTAATAACGAATTAAATCAAACATCATGCTAGGTGAGCCAAAATATTAGCGTAATATACTGAGTAGGACTAACCTCGTCGAAGAAAACTTGCGTCTTCCGCAATATCTGCTTTAGTTCTGTGAGTTCGAGAAAATTTCTCTTGAGAGCTTCTGCGTTTTGATTGACCTCTCTGAGTTCGTTTTCCAGTTTTTCGAACGTAGCCTAGCAATCAACGTGTCATGGACAAAAACTCTCAAGGGGGCTACAAACCTCTAAGTCAATCATCTCTCTGGGTTGTGGGGCCTCTGGGTTTTCGCCCGTGTCCAGCATGGGGATGCCGTCTTTCTTGATTTCCTTTTCCAGATAACGCAATTTCCGTTCCATTTCATCGCAACGCCGGACTTCGTTAACGAATTTTCGTTGGAATACGTTGACGTCGGGGTTGAGCTGGTGGCAAAGATAAGTCGTGGTTGATTATTGAAGTAGTTTTAGAGGTACTTCCTGGAAGAATTACGAGGCGCCGTACGAGATATATAATGAGTTAGAGCTGGCGCAAGATCAAACACATGTTTGATGGTGTACTTCAGAAAATTATCTCAAAACATGCAACCTAATAGTTTATGACCACAAATCGCCTCACGTGAGTTTTATGTAGTATCTAAATAGAACATTTTTACTGTAATTATAATTTTTTATTTTTCTCTTTGTAATTATTTTCTAATCTCTCGGAAAATGAAGATATTATTACCATTATTATAATTACACGTTTCTATTAACTTTTTTGTCTGACTTGTACGTATATTATTAATTACTGAAAAATATGATAGTGTCATTAAATATACTAGTTGGGACAATTTTTTTCATTGGGTTGGACCGGCCATGAAACTAAGCGAACTATACTTTCTGCAACACTTTTGTCTGCTACCTTTGCAAAGTTGTCACTTAACCACGAGCTACTCATTCTTCTCTATTGACATTGCGGGGTAAACCACAGAGAAAGTTGGTGAAAAACCTCAAGGAAAGTGAAGGTCGTTTCAAAGAAGCAAACTCAGTAGGAATTCGATGAATCGTTAAGTCAGGGTCCAATCTCAACAAAAAAGCGCTGATCATTTTGCCAAATTTTACCTGTTTAAATATATGCAGTTCAAATTTTGTCTAACTATATGTATTTATCTTTTCAAAGCAATTAACAATTATCAATTATTATTTAAACATTCTTCACGTCGTAATTTATAATGTTGATAACAAAAATATTACTATTGCTTCTAAAATATATTATTAAAAAATAACTGGTAGCTACTGTTTTTGCCAAACTTGAATCCCGAGTGTATGTGGCCACTAATAAAGCGTCGCGGTAGACGTAAAAAGTCCGGACGAGTCCACTTTTCAGAATGCAGATGCTACACCACAGGTAACAACCTAAACTGTGATGACTCAACATGTTCTTCCCATAGCGTTTCCACTCTAGTGATCATTAATTTGCAAATTCGTCTACGAACTTTATTAAATTAGATGAAACTGAGTATAATTGCTTTGTATGAAGTTCGTTTACATCTGAGTGAATTTAAAGGTTATTCGACGTGATGAAACCCAACAGACTTGCGTCTATCGACCACATATCTTTATAATATAATAAAATTTGTTAATCTTGATAATAAATAATTATAGAAATTCTAGTTGAACAGTTTTGGTTCACCAAAAGTACTATTACTAACTGTATTGTATTCTCAAATTTTGGGGAAAATTGGACGAACCGTTCTTGATTTGATAAATAAAAAGAGCTGTGAGCCGGCATTGATCCCCGGACCTCTCATCCGTGACGCAGGCGTGCTACAGCTAGACCACGCCTAAGCGTCTGGGGGTTCGTATAAAGAATAAGACGGTTTAAACAATAAAAGAATGGTGTAAAGAATGTATACTGTACTTCTCCCACATTCATTGTCATGAACTGATTCATTAAATTTAAAAATGAGAAACTAAATCATTAATAGAGATTTTTTTTGTCTAAAAATGGTGAATCCTAAAAATGTTTGTGATTTCAGCTAAAGTTGGGCAGACTCTATCAATTTAAATTTACTCGCTGCCCTCATATTCTATGGGTGTTTTTTAAGTCTAAAGGTTTATTCTTGCAATAGAACACAAACAACGCTGAGACTCTTTCTTGCACACTTCTACGGCAACAAGGCTAAAGAAAAAAATAAAATGCGAGCGCAGCGAGCACGTTCAGGTGCAATTTAAAAAATTATTAATTGGCGTCCATGAGAAACTAAATTATTAATAACAATTTTGTTATTAATTAAAAAAGTGAGTTTAAAGATTGTTTGTGGTCAGAAATGTTGATTTCTTCAGAATAATTTACATACACAAGGAGATCTCGAGAACTATTACAATAAAAACTAAGTAGCCTTGCTGATCGTTCGTTTGTAAATATTTTTATGACACTAGATTAACTAGAAAAGGAACATTCAGAATACGAGTGCAGCGAGCACATTTAGGTGTTATTAAAATTTATTCGTGGGTGCCATTGGGAAGCTTAAATGTCTCCAAACGTGCTCGCTGTGCTCGTATTGTAGTGTGTGATTTTTAAAATCTAGAAATTTATTAGTACGATGAACCCAAACAACTTCTCTACACTTTCTTGAATATTTGTGAAATTAAACTTCGAAAAAAGAACGTTTAGATTGCGAGCGCTGCGAGCACGTTCAGGCTTCATTTTAAAAACTTGTATAAGATTATCAATTTTTCAGGAAAATGAGGTGAACCGTTTTTGATTTGATTGATCAATAAAAAAACTGCGGTTTGGCATTGATCCCCAGACCTCCCATCTGCGAAGTGTTATATACAGGTGTCTCTTTTATTTGATACAACCACTGTAACTTTTTTATTAAACCTCGCTGGATTTATTTTTTGTAAAAACTCAAAGCAACCAATATTCTAAAATCCAACAACTAATATTTAAAAAAGTTATTCAATAAAATAGACGAAAAATGTATATTTATTGATGACGATACAGTAGCTTGAAAAATTGACACATGTCCCTATATGTTTATCTTTAAAAATAAAAAATTGCAGGGGTTGTATCAAATAAATGAAACACGTGGTATATAAAGAACAATATTTGCCATAATTAAACAACAATACACAAACAATAAAAAAAATCAGGGTACGTTCATAGACCACAATTTCTGGAGTGTATTATTCTACAAAGTTTAAATGGCCTTTATCGACATAGATGACACAGAGACGGAAACGGGAGATCTACTTTTTCATACTCTAGGTACCCTCGAGAAGTAAAAATAAGTCTTTAGAAATCGACTATAGTAAACAAAATTTATTAGGAAAAGAAGGACATTTGACCCCGGATTTTCGAAAACTTTCTTCAATTTGTGAAAAAAATACAAAATAATTTCATATGAAATTATGACTAACATTTTTTTTATTATCGTAAGAACTACGATAAAAACTTCTATGTGGGGATGTCTACAAATATTAGTATAAGCAGCGTAAGCAATAGAATTTTTAATTTTGTAACGGACGTTTAAATAAACCAGAATTAACGCCTCCAATATGCAATTTCCAATTAATGCGGCAATAAACATTGGAAATAAATAGCTCTATAAATTCTTATCTTAAATCTCAACGGACTTGTGTTAAAGAAATAATAAAAAAAAAAAAATAAGCTTGTCCAACTGTAGAACAGTACTGACATCATTATGAACTCACTGTGTATTGGAAACCAGGATCCGTGATACGATTTTAGTTTATTCAAAAGTTTCTGGTTTCTGAACAGAGCGTTACATATTTATTTATATTTTGTGTAATTAGTTCAGCTCTTGAATACAATTTCCGTGCCACAACACTTCAATAGCACTACATAAGAATAGTGAAGAAGTCAAAGTCGTCTGACCACTATATCTCTCGAGTGACTATACCAAGCTATCAAAAAAATATGTTCTGGACAGTCCATCCGTAACACTTTGTAAAAAACTCGTTCCTGTTTAAGTCCAATTTATTTGCAATAAAAAATTTTATGGTGCTAATTAGCTTTGAGTACCAGTACAGCTTCAACTCTGTCAACTACTGTACTGTGTACATTGTTTATTAGGACTCCAAGAATGCTTTCTAATGATCCACAGGTTATTGTTCTCATTTAAACCATTGTACAAGAACGAACATCCAACAATTTAGCCACGAAACTGAAAACACAATTGTTGATGACGTCAAAGAAGTAGGGGTGCCAACGCAAAACCATCGACTTTTCTCTTGTCTCTGGTAGCTATGGTTACTGTACACCCTGTGGAAAATCCGGGGCTATGATCCGGGGTACAGTCCCAAATTTGGGCGCTTCCGTGACCTTCATGAGTCACATTCAGTTCAAATAAGGTTTAACATTTTTGAACTAGAAGAATAAGTCAATTTGTATTTCGCAATGACAACGTGGAAGAACAAGAAGTAACTCGAGTCGATGGCAAAATAAAATATTTCCCGCCTCTTTGTCCCAGTCGCTTGTCTAAAGCAGCCCCTGGAGTTTGTTAAAAAAAGTGACAGGAGCAGTATTGATTACTGGGAGCTGAGATGAGTGGGGTGAATTTTGGAATCCATATAATGTGTCACTGCAGTGACTACTGTAAATCACAATCACTAGAGGGGACTGCTAGAGGGTAGGTGACGTGGAAAATTCCAATGATTTATTTTTACTTACATCTCGGAACTGCACAAGGCCCAGTTCACCCAGTTCTGACACACAAGCATATGCGGCCTCACTTTGCAAGAAGAGTTGACAAAGTGTCATCTCAGCACTTCGAAACAGTGATGCCATTTTGAGTTGGCTTCAGCACTATGCAGTTCAAACTTTAATACATAAAAAGCTGTCACACTTATACGAAGTTCATTACATGGGCGTACGCAGCCGATCAATAACAAAGTGAAATTCGCCACTCCACTATGACAAGTTCCAAATGCCGAAAATCACCAGCTGCCTGCCATGCGCACTGAGAACTAGCTCTACGTCTACATCTAGGAGGGGAAATGTTCGACCGCCTTACACCTAGCCGGCAACGAACGTTACGCCGCAGCGAACGGGTTGCCTACGCGTAAGACGAATCATATAGTCCGTTTAACGCGGTGGCGATTATGGTAGTTATAACACATACACATTTTTAAAACACTGACCAAACTTCTGAAAACATCTCGTACAACATCGGAACAAATGCTAACAAACTCTGGGCTTCTGGAGATGCTGCGGCGAATTTATAGCCTCGGATAGCGCCGACGCTTGACGCCTGATCCTGGAGGAAGGTTCTGGAAAGGTCAGGGGAAGGAGACCAGGGGCGCTACATTGGAATATTTCGCAACGGAGTTTGGGCGTGTCTGTTTAGATTTTAACAAGAGTGGATATTTTTTTCGTCTTGAATAGTATAAAAAAAAACAGCAATTGTTTGTCGAGCAAATTAGGGTAGTTTTGGGCTACATGGTGATATTACTGATAAGGTTTAAATACGTATAATAATAGTAAGATTTATTGACTAACAGAACAAAAGTTCCAAAAGAGACAAAGATCAAGAAAAATAATATTAGTAATTTAAATTGTACTTAATTATTACTAAAGACGCCTTAAATAATTGTCAAACATATGTTGCGCACAATTGAATATATCTTTAATCTTCTAAGGTGTTAAGATTCCTAGTATTTACTAACGGTTCTCTGAAATTAAAAAAGATAATTCGGTACTATCATTTTGATTGTTGAACAGTTTATAGCTAAACCTAAGCTCAAATTTTAACGAGTCTCTGATTCAGTTATCGCTAATCTGTGACTCTAACTGTAATTAGATTTATTGAGACCAATTTTACATATTAAATAATTAGGTACAAAATTTCCTGAGGTAAATAACTCTCGAAAAGTCAAAATCTATTAAAATGAGCTTACTTAACTTCTGGTTTGGTTACAGACTTCAGTATTTCTAAAATGCAATTCCGGAAACCCCGACAATGTTTTCAATGTATTTAGTATAGAGCGAAACCGAATCAGACGCCAACCTTAACCATTGCCTGGTTTGCCCTAGCTGAATGCCCGCTTTAGGCCTCCCCGTAGGGCAAAGCGGGCAGTTGTAAAGATTTAGTTATCTGCTTCTAACTTTTTTTTGATAAACTTTCTTCAATTTTAGTTATGCATCATTGAAAAGGGTTAAATCAAGCATTATAATATAAAAATTTAAAGGATCTAGATTATCCATAAACTACTTTTTTTAATATTTTTCCTTATGGTGCCCGCTTTGGGCCCTCTTCCCCTACATCTACTTATTTGTTTTTTTTGGTATTTTTGTTTTAATAAATCTACCTGAAAATTTGTTTGTTGCAGTTCATGTTAGCCAGTTTGATTTATAGGGGTGGTTTGTCTTAAGCCATAAAAGTTTAACTAGGTACATGCCGACTGAGCAAACAGTATTTCATACCTGATAATTAGAATCATTTTAACAACATATTTCTAATTTATTCAAAACTAGACATTGGCGAATGCCGGTCGTAGTAAATTTTGAAAACAAAACCCAAAGTGAAAACAACTTTAATAAATTTACGGATAAAAGATTATCCTGAACTTATTTCAACGGACGAAAATGTTTTCTGCAAAGCATGTGGGAAAAAGGTAACTGCTTTTAATTACATTTAGGTATATTGTATATTTTTAATGCGATTGCTCTAACTTGTTTCTGTTTTGAAATATCTTTTTTTTAATTTTATTTTTTAGATGACATATGAGTAGAAGTTCCAAATGCCACATGCTTCACATGTCAGTTTCAAACAATCTCTTGGCGGAAGTTCAAAGAAAAATGAACAACAAGTCAGGCGCGGATGCAGGATTTCGTTCAGGGGGGGGGCAATTTTTGTGCAATTTTACCTATCTACCAGAAATTCGTTCTAAATAAGAAAATTTATAAAATTTTAGCTAGTATATTCTTTTTCACATAACATGGGTGACATTTGGTTCTTTTCATAACACGTATAGTGTACAGTAGAACTTCGATAATCCTAATTAATTGGGAAAAGGTGTGTTCGGATTAACGATTTGTTTGGATCAGCAATTTTCCCAAAAATCTGAAAGGGAACTGAATAACAACTTCATACACAGCTGAAAACAAACTTCAAGAAATAAACCTAAATTTTATTAAACAAAAATTACAGAATTCTCAAGCAATAATGGATAATAGATACATTCTAAAAAAATATTACTCCGTGACCATAAACACGCTATCTTTTGGAATAAACATCCCGGGATCTATACCCTGAAGTATTTCAGAATTTTTAGATGAATTTTTCAAAAATGAAATTTTCCATTATGTATTCGTATTACCTCCATTATGCAAATTTCGACCCATTCTCGACGATTTTCGAAATTTAACTAAATATATTTTCTAGTGGATTTTGGACCTCAGAAGTCATCTCTGGCTTCATTTCTTCGATAATAATTTAAACCATTTTTCCAGAATCGTTGAAATATCGCAATTTTTAAAAATTTCGAAAAATTCGAATTTCACAGCGAATTTTCCGAAAATCTTGCTTCGTTACCATAAACATGGTATATTTTTGAAATCAGCACGTCGGGATATAATCTCTGAATTTTTTCAGAATTTTTAGAAAATTTTTTCGAAAATGAAATTTTTCTCATGCAAATTTCGACCCATTTTCGACGATTTTCGAAATTTAACTAAATACTTTCTCTTGTAGATTTCGGGTCTCCGATAACTTCATCCGTTTTTCCAGAATTAGTTAATTCAGTGCTTTGAAATATCGCAATTTTTAAAAATTTCAAAATATTCCATACAACATATGCAGAAAGATCTTGCGTCATTTTTGGAAGTAGATGCATGTTTTCAAGTTCAGATCGGATTGCAGCGTTTTTGTTCGGATTAAAGAGGCATCGACTTCAAATAGCCTCTGTTCGGATTAGTGGATGTTGAGACAATCGTGAGTTCGGATTATAGAGGTTGTACTGTATTTACAAAATGAAATATGATCTCAAAATTTTGAAATTGGTCAAAATAAAGGACCGCGGTCGTGTGTAAGGGGGGGCAATTGCACCCATTGCCCCCCCCCCCTGGATCCGCGCCTGCAACAAGTATTTTAATTCAGGTTTATGTAAAGCGTTGCTTGGTGCCAATATTCCCATTTTTTAGAAAAATATTGTAAATATGTTATACCGGACGAAAGTACGCTGAGAAAAAATGATGTATCAGATATTTACAGTGGGACTATATTTCCATGGTATTAAAGAAATTGTAAAAAAAAACAATTTATACATATATCGTGTAGTAGACGAAACTTCTGATACTTGGGGGCGTTATATTGCCAATTTACTGGTAGATTATTAAGTGATAAGTGAAAATAGAGCTAGCTAATTAATCCAAGTTTTGAAGACTTTCAACTTTTGAATGTCATTATATTTTGCATTTTTTTTTTGTTAATATACATAGCCATCTTTTCACAACAAGAAACTTAGAACATGGTTAAAATGGTACCTGTGCAAAATCGATATTTCCTTATACAAATTTTCCATTTTAAACATGTTTTAAGTTTCATGTTGCGAAAAAAAGTCTACACATTTTAAAACAAAAAGGCAAAATACAAGCCCCGCCCACCCACCCTATCTCAATTGTGATGATTTTTTTTATTCGTCGTGAACCAACTCAACTTAACTGCAAAATACTTATTTCTTTACAAGAAATTAAAAACATGTTTTTCATTAGTATGGTGCTGTTCAAAGAATTATTATTATTATTATTATTAAGAAGAAATCAGCTCAACAGGCATATGGCCCAATTATTGAGTTGTAAAAATAAATAAACTAAATAACAATTAACTTGTATGACAGAACTTTTTAAGGTCAACAAGTTTTGATGAAAATATATCAAAATCTTGTTCAATATACGAATAATTTTGCAGCGCTTGATAAAGGGGTGACATTTTCAGTACATTGGTTTTAGGTACAGGTATCTGAAAGCAATTTGTATTTCTTAGGTTTGACTGAGGCACCCGTAGGTACACTTGCTCAAGCAGTTCTGGACAATCAATTTTTGCATTAATGATTTGGTGTAAAAAGGATATTGACTCAGTAATTCTTCTTGCAATCAGACTGTCCATGCCAAATCTTTTTAATAAAAAGTTTTGTGGAAAACCCTGACTTGGGTAAACATTATCAATTAAAAAAGCTAAGTACTTGATGAAGCGTCTTTGAATTTTTTCGAGCCTATCAATGTGTACGTTGTTAACAGGATTCCAGACAACTGAGGCATACTCCAGTTGCGAACGAACAAAAGAGTAATATAAGATTTTTAATGACTCCACCACTTCCAAACCTTTGATATTACGTATGACAAATCCAAGTGACTTATAAGCAGATGTAACAATATTGTCAATGTGTACAATGAAATTTAATTTCAAATCAAATGTAACGCCCAAATCACGTATGTGCTCTGGCCTGGCTAATATATTATCACCAATTTTGTAATCAAATTTGATTGCATTTTTCTTTTTAGTGTACGACATAGCAAAACACTTCTCATGATTAAGTGCCAAGTCATTAGCAAACAACCAGTTTATTATTTTTTTAAGATTTGATTGAAGTTCTTCACAATCGACAACATTTTTCACTTCTAAGAAAATTTTTAGATCATCTGCGTACATTAAACACCTCCCAGTTAAATTCTCAACAACGCCATCAATAAATATATTAAAAAAGAGTGGTCCCAGGACCGTTCCCTGTGGTACACCACAAAGCTGAGTATATGACTCTGAGCGATAACCCAGGCAATAAACATATTGAATCCTATTTTCAAAATACGTCGTAATCAAGTTTACTAAAGAGTCTGAAATTCCAAAATATCTGAGTTTACGAATTAGAAGACGATGATTTATTTTATCGAAAGCTCGAGAGAAACCTGTATAAATACAGTCAACTTGACCCTGTTTGTCCAAAACGCTACATATATACTGAGCTTTTATAGCTAAATTAGAAACGGTAGACCTCCCCTTCACAAATCCATGCTGACTAGTAGTAAACAATCGAGAGACATGAGACCATGAGAGTAGATAAATGAATGAAGAACGAACTCAAACACCTTTGAAAAATTGTTTATAATGGCTATAGGCCTGTAATTGACGACCTCAGAGCGGCTGCCCTTCTTGAAAATGGGGGTGACACGAGATTCCTTCCAAGCATCTGG